TTAAGTATTGTTTTAATGCTCATACGTTATTACTTTTACTTAAGTAAAACTTTTAATGCAGGAATTTTACTTGTAACAGAGTATTTCTACACTGTAGTATTGCTGTTTTTATTTCTTGATATTATGTAAATTATAGTATTTAATGTAAAAATGAAAGAAGCACCTTCCTTCCTAGCTGAGAGCGGAGTGTTCTCCGCTGGCTCCTGGTTAGCAAGGTGCTCATAGTGGACAGTTGGACTGCTGAAGTATGTAAAGTACGGTGAATGACGTTTTCTCACTTTGGTGTCTAAATACAAAAAGAAACGGATGATTAAAAATGCAGGATATCTTGAACAATTAACTCTGGTTAATTCCACTGGAGAAAAAATGTATCATCCAGGTTGCACCCAATGTTCAAGGTTTAATTTCTATATAAAATCATGGAAGTTACAGTCTTTTATGCTATCAACCAACGCTGATTACTGAACACACCGATGAAATAAAACTATTAAAATCATCAATTAAAAAAACTCCATTCCACAAAAACTTTAAAGAACCATTCAATCAATAACATGACAAATTACACTTAGAATCAGAGATCACTTCCTCCTCACATAATTCTGGACTGTTAGTGGGTGAATCAGAAGAAACGTGAATTACTTTATATTAGTATGTGAATATTGTGATTGTATTGTGTTAAAAACACATTGATTGGTCCACTAGCTGCTGTCATTAAATGTATTTTATATTTCCACAGTAACAAATATTCTTCACTGTATCAAACTTTTGTTTCAAACACTGGAAGTCCAGCATCTTTTTCCAGTTATCTCTGCGCAGATTCAGGGAGAAACTTTTTTAAATAATATAGACATTTATTCCCCCTCAGACAGACAAAATAGAAGTTTCCCACAGCTTGATACATGTTGAGGCAGAACAATTACTTTCGATTTCCTCTCGGACTGACAAAGACATTGTTTGCCACACTCTCATCATTACAGACTGCAGCCAGAATGTTTTCCCCACATCATCCCATTGTTTTGCACTAGTAGCCAATTTCTTTTAGAATAATATACTAAATCAAATCAACTACAAACATGGCCTTCAATGGATAGAATTATGTGAACTGTAATATCTATTGGTTTAATCCATGTAACTATTTCTCAATCCAGGTTAAAATCGAGAGGGGCTCAAGGCCAGTCAGTTTTGGATGGATATTAATCTGGACAAACTATATTCCAAGTTTAAGAATAACACAGTACCAATGCATAATAGTTTGTTCTACAAAAGTAAACTTGATCTACAACACAACCTTGCCACACCTTCAGTCACAGAAAACAATAAAGCATTAAAAGTCCCATTCACTAACTTTAAATTAAAATTAGGCCAAATACAAAACCCTTAATTATATGTATAATAATACATTCATATTCTTCTATTCATCCTTACCGGGGCGGGTTGTCTTCTAGACAGCTGAGGAAGGTGACCAGCTTTCACAGTAGTTACTGTAGATGGATGTTCATACAGGAGGTCATGTGCAATTGCCCACAGCTGGCAGAAATGAAACTGGACCAGACTGAAATAATTTTGCCTTCAAATGAATTATCTCGCATAAAGACCAAGAAGCTACTGTCAGAGTGAGAGACGCCAATGAAATCTAAAATAAAGCTGTTGAACCTCACAGCCAACTGCCCAGCCATGATGATGATGATACTATTGTGAAGATAATATTGATCTGAAGATAAGTAGTTGTGTATTTAGTTTATTTTGGTAACATTTGTAAACTTCAAAATGCATTATGATTTTTGTGTCAAACAAGGTCTCTCCCCCCTTTGGAGAAAGGCAGACATAGTAGAACAGGTCCAGACCACTTCTAAACTTCATTCCTACATAAAGCTAAATAAAGTGTGAGAAAACTGCAACTCAAAAACACTTCTGTTTGTAAGAATGGTTCTTACATGAGGCTCACTGCCCACTGATATAAAGAGAATAGTTTACGCTTACAAATAAGATATCAAAGTTCTGGTTTTATTCTCAATTATAACATTTTTGCCATTATAATTTTGTAAAAGACATAATAAGAGAGTAAAGGTTTACAAGGTAGTTTGAAGCCACTATGTGTAACATTCCTTGGGATTTAACTGTAGCTTTGATCAAATCCTGTACACAAAACCCCTTATCCCTGAGGTTGCTTTTTAACTGTTGTGATTTAACAATTAATTAAATGTGAATGATGACTTTTCGAAACAAATGAATGTTTTAGTCTATCTTTGGCCCCGTGTTTTGGCGTGTATTGTCCTGGAAATACAGGTCAGCATACTGCAGTATGTGGTCGACGGCAGTAAGCAGAAGCACATCAGTGTTCACATCCAGGTCCAGCTCTGATGAGTAGTTCCTCACCGGGATGATGTAGGAGGTGGACATACCCAACAGAGTTGCAGCTTTACCCATCTGCAAACACACAAAAATGTCAAATGATCATCTCATCTCGAGTGGTTTGAAAAGAAAAAAAAAGGATCTGCCTGTAGTTCCTCATTTATGAAAATGTGAGCATTGAAAAATGAAATAAAATACAGTCTACACATGAACTGTTCAGATAGTTACTGACTGTTTTCAAGCCTTTGTTGGTTGGTAATTTTATATTGGGATTGACTACTTCACTTCTTTATTGTAAAAAACTAAAAAACAGAGAGTGGTCTACAATGGACCCACTGAGATTAAAAGGTTACGTGAATGGAAATACATTCTCAAAGCTAAATCTTCATTACAAGTAATTTACAAAATACATTGTAAGTTACTTATTCAGCATTGTGTCCTCACAGGCATGTTCATAAGGCATGTTGACTAAATGACAACCTTAGTGTCTGTATTATGCAATACATTAATGGTCAGGTGGTTAGAGCATTTCCATTTCTCATTGACAGAAAATTTAGAGGAAAAGTCTCAGGGTCTGGAGTTATATTACAATACGCATAAGGTTAATTTCAACCTACCATGTCCCGAATGATGCGGGTCTTGTAAACCTGGGTGACATCTTTGTATGTTTCTGAACAAATTTGGTCAATGTGGGTCAGCAGAGCCACCTGGTGAACACCTAACAAACAGAATACAAGGCTTTCATTAAGGTTTCTTTGCAATAAAACAGCTTGTTACATTCCGGAGAAATACATTACTCAAGATTTCAACAGTGTTTGCGTTCAGTTGATTTCTAAAGGTTTTAAAGCCAAAGTTGTCATGCCCTTCTGCAGTTCTAACCAAAGCAAAATCCAACAAAAATAAACAGGTCTGAAATCTTTGTGCAATATGGACTAAATGTGTAAATCACGACCAAATTCTAACAAATGAAAACTAAATTAAGGTAAAAACTGACAAAGTACTGCTTTTCCACTTTGGTTTCAAAAGTCAAAGCCCATTTTGACAAGGAACTTCAATCTGTTCGTGAAAATGTCTTTGTGTTTAACTGCTTGTGTTTCCCTTTTCTTACCCAGGTCACTGATGTGCTCCCGGAGCTGCTGGAAGGTGGTGTTGAGGCCTTTAGGGTAGGTCAGGATTTTAGAAGCATCCACCACAAAGGCCACACAGTGGATCTTGTCTTTGAGGCTTGGCCTCTTCACATAGCCCACAGTCTCTGACCTCACTGGCTGATCTGGGCTAAACTGAGAGAGAGAAATGAACAGCAACACAACTCATGTTGAGTGTTAGCAATTAGCACTAAACTAATTCTGACCTAATGATGGTGCTAGATAAAAAGTAAGAGGATCACTAAAGCTCTTGCAATTCATCCTCAGGGGAACATGAATGTCTGTACCAAATTTCAAGGCAATCCATCCAATGGTGGTCGAGACATTTCACTCAAAACCACAAATGTTTACCTCATGGTGGCGCTAGAAGAAAAGTCAGAGGACCACCAAGTCAATAAAAAGCATCCTCTGGGAATCATGAGCATCTGTATAAAATGCTGTGCCAATCCATCTGGTGGTTGGTGAGAAATATTTCAGTCTGGACCAAACAACCAACCAATACACCGGCATTGCTATCTTTAGCGCAATGCTAAAACTACAACATTACAAGACCGACCCTGCTTACCTTGTGTCCCTCAGGTGCATGACCTTTAATGACGGACATGATGTCATGGAGGGTCGGTCCGGTCATCTCTCCACCTCCCAGGCCCACCATATCGCACAATACCAGTCCAGTAGGATCCTCTCCACTCTGACCGTGGATGTTGAAGGACTGCAGCTGACACACACACACAACAAAAAGTTAATGGGATGGACGCCTAAACCATTTACAAATAAACTTAAACTGGTCTTTCAGCTCATTTGGTCCCCACCCTCAAAATAAATGTGAATTATTTTAGTGAATTCTCTCAGTTACATGTTACTGCTCTACTTGTACCTTCTTGGTGAAGCTGGTGGAGGAGGAGCCCACCATGGCTCGGTTGGTGACTCTTCCATTAAACACCGACTGGACTGAACTGATGAAGCTGGACTTTCCAGAACCGACCGGACCCAGGAGGAGAACCTGAGCCTGAGTCACCTCGCCACTGCTTGGTTTGTAGGAGCTGACGGTCTTCATCAGGCTCGTCTTTTGCCTCGATTCAAATTTAAGATACTTGCTGTTCAGCATAATTTGCATAAATAGAATAAAGGCATGAGAAGAGTGTTTTTATCTGAATGAGTTGAAAGGAATAAAGGTAATATGTTGATAGTGTTTAAAATAGGTTTACTTTTCGCTTTAAATGAATGGAAATATATTAATTTGACTGCTAGTGATTAAAATAGTTGCAAACTTGACTTGAATGTCCACGTCTCTCCATTGAGATTCCAAATTTGGCCAAGCTCCTGAGGAGAAGATGATAAGGTTAAATCAAGTATTCAGTTTGCTATGTTTCACCTCTTCTGAGGAGTGAAATACATGAAAATAAATCTAACTATCAAAATGTACCTTGCATTTGTTATTTCAATGTATTTTTCTAATTCTGTAGATAAATGGTAAAACACACAGTAATGTCACATCCAGATATTTCCAGAAACAACAACATCTATTCACACAAAGTTTGCACAACATTTAACACAAGTGTAGACACTGAATACAGACAAGTATGAGGCCACATGTAGTGACACACCAGGGTGGTGACCTACTGTACTGTATGTAAAAACTAGACGGAGAGAGAGTAGGACATACAGCTGTTAGACGTAGACGTGTGCATTTGCAATTTTAAGCACATTGTTGAAAAAATGGCAGTTTTTCTTTGTTTTGTCTTAACTGAGGATATTTTTCGAGACATAAAGGGTTTTGGAAAAGGCATTTACTGTTCGGGACTATTTCCACTGAGTCTACTGTTTATTAAAAATGCATTCAAACAATGGAGGAAAACTACAAGAGTAGCCTACATATTCAATGGCAGTGCTGGTCGTTGACAGTTTTCTTGGTGTAGAACTGTTAAGTAACTTACCTGGGAATGTAAACAAATGATTGTTCTCCCTTCTCTCTGTTGAACTGACATCTGGAACTATGCTGGAGGAATCTTTGGTGGCCGCTACCTTGTCGATAGCAGATTCAGCCGGAGCAGATGCAACATTGAAATGTGAGGATGTGGGAGCAGAGACTCCAAATGGAAAGCCACATCTGATGAGGAAAACAATAACATGCATCAGAGTAGGTCCATAAAAAGGCAAAGGAGCTGAAATGACCTTGAATGTTCTTAGTTAAAGGCCTTACACCTACAATGCTGGATATGTGACCTAAAATGTGATTAAAAATTGCTGCTGTTGAGACAGAGAAATCAAAGTGAGTTTCCCAAATAGTTTTGTGAAGAAATTTGAGTTGAGCACTAATGATGGAAATACATCTGTAATAGAACTCAACAGAAATAACACATGGAAATAGACAAAATGCAGCTGAAACCTTTGACCCATAACTCAAGTCGATAAAGTTAGTTATGAAGTGCACTCCAATGTCTGTGAGGCATAAAATGTTCTTTATCTACTTTTAACAATTTGTAAACCAATGCTGTACAATCACATATGCCTCCACCACCAACTGTAGGCTAACTATTTCTATATTTGTATTATTATTACTACATTAACTAATTAACACTATGTCAACCATGAAACATTTTTTAAGAATTCTGGCAGGTCATCGACACCAACTTTGTAGGCCAACTAATACAACCATGTTAGCGAATTTATTCATATGCATCTCAAACAATGACCAAACAAAGGTGAGGCTTTGCACTCTTCTACTACAAAACTATGTTACAGCCTATAAATGTGCAAACACGTGAGTCAATATAAGTGTTATTATAAGAATCAAACTGGCATAGAGACAATACTAACTCCAAACAAGCCAAACATTAATTGGAAGTCTGCCAATTAGTCACAAAACTGGGACAAAGGCTCTTTTGCGTTTGCTCTCTAGTCCTCTGAAAGACTGGTGCCTTTGATATGAAACTCCTGGTTGAACTATTACTGGAGGACATTAGTCCCTTTTCACAACCTTAGAGATAGTTCAGGAAGTCATGTGAAGTCTCTTGACTACAGGACAATACACACTCCCCACTTCACATCAAACTGCCTCTTTTTATTAGTGTTAAGTTTATTGTTAAGATGATTAATCCATTACGATACTACAAAGACTGATACAATACGGAGATTTCGCATGAGATAAAGTCTACAACACAGTGGATAACTTACAGTCTAACTTTCTCTGACACCCTTCGTGAAACTTAACTAGCGTTGAGTTCACCTGCGTAACTTAGCGTCGCGTGATAAACATTACCTTGGTTTTTAACATTGTGTTACCTGGTTTTTTTTACGAAATGTTCCTGCATGATAACCGCTGCATGTAGACGTGAACACCAACAGCCGTTAAGAGGACAGACGGGACGATACAGGAGAGGCGACTCCCTTTCTGAGGAAAAGAAAGTGAAACTTAACAATCAGTGTCAATGGTGAATGATAATCAGCACTGCTGTGAGTTCTGTGCACAGAGCGAGCTTGTTGTTTCAGATGGTCCAGACCTGAGAACCCGCCCACCTCCGAGCTCAGTGACAGCTCTGTCTGATATCAGGCAAAGCTTGTTGCTCTCTCCAAACAACACAATGCTTTTGGGCCACTTATGATTAAGTTTGCATGCTGAGTATCAATGTAGGCTATATAACGACTGATTACCTTAATTGCTGAATGAGAAGATTTACAACACTACATTTTCGTTTCACGATAAGGGCTTTTGCAAACTGTAAAGAATAACAGCTGGATATGTTTGTAGAAGTGACAACGGTGGACAAAGTGCTATGAATATCCGTTGAGTAGCCTCATGAGTTCATAAGCCATACATCAATTCTACCTTTTGTGGAGCTTTAAATGTGCAGTTTCCTCAGTAGTTAGGACCTCCCCTCTCTATGGATGGTTGCTTTATGTCTATTCTACTCTACAGAAGGGGGAGGTAGGTTTCACAAAGGAATTAGTAACATCCTCACATTTTGGTGCAAATGATGTTATGAAATTTTAGCTTACATGCCCAACACATGCCCTTTCATTCCTCTAACACATTTATACTGCAGGAAGTGACACTGAGTTTATAATACAACAGTTTATAAGTAGCCTAATATGGAGCAGACTGTCTTCAAAGAGGGACAACAGGCTGCTCATATGTGAAGGTAGACTGACTGTGTTGGTGAACATTGGGACGAGGACATCACAGCAGAGACATGCAGGGGATGATTTCAATGTGCCAAAAGAAGACGTGCATGCATTTTAATTGTCTTAGAGGTACATTAGGTCAGAGTATGGCGTCAATAAGTTTCTGATATAACTAGTAACTATTTGTAAACTAGATAAGCTGTGATGACAGCTGGACTATTGAGCGGGCCATTGCATCAAGATGAATATGCCTAATCAAGCCAGGGGGCCAGCCACAGTAGTTTAGCCCAAGTAGGTACAATGTAGCCTGTCAGAGGGCCCAGTAGATTCATGACAACACAGCCTGACACATGTTTTTATTGTTTCTACTCATCTTATCCACTAGTGGGAGCTCTAGTCTTGTGTTTGAAGCTTGATGCTGACCCGCTATCTGACAGCAGGGGTCCACCTGTGGCCACCCTTCATTCTCTTTCCTCCAGCCTGATATCCAAAACTCCTACACATGTCCTTACACACAGTCAGTGGCATCACTCAGTAGCTTTTCATAACTGAATGTTTTGACCTGAATATTACTCTCTAATTAGTGGTGGTGATTGCTATTCCTTGGATAAGAAAATTTGCTGTGTGTGTGTGTGTGTGTGTGTGTGTGTGTGTGTGTGTGTGTTTCTTGGCTTGTTTCAGAGACGGTTCATTTTGCAGCTTATACTGTGAATGAAAGGAAATGAAGCTTGGCTAAAGTTCATTCAGGAAGACTTCTCATACATGTATTCTTCATATTTATGCATATTTCCCATGTTTTCAGCACAGTCAGCTGACTTTGGTTGTTTTCACTTATTCACTTCAATCTGTCTTATTTCCCCATGATCTCTGTTAATTGATCATATCGTTGCTATTTTACATTAAAACTGGTCTTTTTCCTCTGGTGTTCATCAAAGCAGCCTCCAGCTCCAGGTCCAGTGAGCCCTTTAGGAATCCTGCAAGAGATCCTATCTATCAGGTCTTCATGCGTTAAAATATCACCAAATCATCTCCATGTTTATGCCCCCAAAATAGACTTCATTGAGGAAAACTTTAATACAGGCTTCATGAGGTCTAAATAACAAATGAAATCATATTTATTGTTGTAACTCTCCTCACGTTTCTCTTTTCTGACCAGAGGTTATGGTAGCGAGGCTGAGAGGAGGATGCTCAGTCATCAAAGTTAAATTAACATTTTAAAATAGTTAGCAGGTTCCTTCAGGTCAGTTGTCTGTCATTCAGCACGGCTTTATCAGGGCTATTTTGGCTAGCCGCTTGCGACTAATCAGGCGTAATAGCAGCCCACAACAAGGCACAGCTATTTATTATGACCTTGTGGTCAAGCCAAACTTTTGCTGTGACAGCAAAATAGTTTCTATTTCCAGAGCCCCACGTAGAAAGACTGGGAGATGTTGAGCTGCGTTTTGGAAGGAGACATAAGGGTTAAGTTAGGAGATCCAAAACAAGCAGGAACACCTTGCATACTTAAAGGGTGGATCCATTATTTTTTTTTATGTTTTTATATAATTCTGTGTTTTTTCAGGAGTGTTCCTTATGTATTTAAATAAGACATTAAATACATTTTAGCGTCAAATGGCTTTTTTCCCAAGCCCATCTAAAAACGTCTTCCGACGTAGAGTTCATGGTAAATGTACCCGGCTAATATGGTTGTATACGGTACAAATCCATAGTCAGTGTATTACCTATAGAAACTTAGATGGCAGTCAGCACGCTCCCAGTTTGGAGAAGCAGACAAGAATACTGACACGAAAGCTAAGCGATGTACGCCATGTTCCGAAAGTAACACAATAACACTCACCAACCAATCAGGTAGCCGTCAACCAGCAACTCCAGCGTGTTTTTGTCAAAGAAGTCTTGTGGCTTTGAAGAGAGCGATACAACGGCTTCAGTTCACCATCAAAAAAGGCTGTCTGATGGAAAGGTAAAGCTGTGAAAAATAATTTAAATATAGCGTACCCTTTTTAGGTGGTCCTATGTAAAGTTGGCCATAATATGTTTTGCTGCTGCCCCAAAAGACAGCTGTACTTTGCTTAGCTTCTGCGCATCAGCATTGTTCATCACTGCTTGTTGCTTACGCTTGAGTGGGCATTTCCATTGGAAAAACCCAGAAATGGGATGAAGTCGACCTTTAATGTTCCCGAACAGTAACATGCAACGTTCGAGGAGCCTGAGATCAGTTGGAGCTTCCTGGTTATTAGACTGCAACACACGAATCCAAATTGCAACTTCCTGCGGCCTTGAGGTCATGACTGGGTGTCATTAAAAGTGATTGTACTGTTGATGGCTTGACAGTAAACATTATCTATAGGTTGTTATCTGTGGATGGAGGATGTTGCTCTGAAAGAAACCAAAACACGGCAACTGTTCAAAACAGACCACATGATTTAACTGTCCTGCAACCAGAAACTGGTGAAATGTATTTATAAATACCGGTATGTGTAATGTACTCTGAAATGACTTGTAGCCAGGCCTTTAGAAATACTGAGGTCAAGAGTCTTGCATGTGACCTTTATGGATAATAAATGTTTCTTTGCAGTTAGTCTGGTTCAGTAGTCTTCTGGTTATACAATGGACTCATTATCAGACATGCATATTAAAAAGTGTTGAATTGTTTTATATACTGTATAATGTGCAAGCAAGCATAGAAGTGTAGAGAGCAGGCACATTTTAAGCAAATTCAATAATGACGTAAGCTAGACAATGTTAAACGTAATCATATCAGACCATAAATACCACAGAATCTTGCATACTGGAGTTTTAGATTTCAAAATAGAAGCAGTGGCAGGTGCAGAAGCTTACTGTCCTCTCAGCTGTGGTAGTCGTTTTTTGTTTACAATGATCATATACAGTATCTCATTATTAATGTAGAGAAGTAATGATTTATTAATTGTTAACACCTTTACAGCAGCTCCTTCTCATCATCATCATCAATCTGGGGCTGTGAGTTTAGGAAGTTCAGACAGATCCCGCTCTGACTCAGCAGCTCCAGCTGATATCAGTGGAGCAGAGAGCTGCAGGTGGGATGGGAGGAGGGACATGCGCCGTCTAAACAGGGAGCTGTGCTGACCAGCAGTCTGTTTTAAAGGAGCACCCACACCACCACCACCACTCTTAGCGACTCCACCCTGGGTGCCACACACGGCCTGAACTTCTGTCTCTCTCTGCTGGCAACCCTTCCCTAAAGTACACTGACGGTTGAAATGAAAGCGCTGGGTGATCTGGGTAAACAGGTTAGAGCTGAAGAGACGGCAAGGAAAAACAAAAACTGGAAAACACATTGGATGCTGTTTGCTTTTGCGATTATTGTGAAAGTCAGATATTGATGTAGCATCCATGAAAATCAGAAAACTTTGTACTTTTCATTTTATATATTTAGATGGAGGATGAAATAACATTTAAGCTTCATAATCGGTATCTAATGAAAAGTAGAAGAAGATATTATGCCTGTTTTACATGATTGTTCAGCTTTTTTGTTCATTGGGTTATTGTGTTCCAAATAAGATTTTCTTTGTGGGATTTTGGGCCTATTCATTTTGGGTTTTATTACAATTGTTTTTTTAAATACAAGAACGCTGAAGTTGTGCCTGTGCTGTCCGGATTACATTGCTTCAAGGAAAATTAAAACAATTATTTTTTGCACCAAGTATGCATGACTCTGGTAGACAAAATGATAGATGATTTATATCATGGATAGAAAAATTGGGATGTGATACGCAAAACAGTAAATAAGTGTTTTCCTGTCTCCTGTATGTAGATGATCACTGATGGCAAAATGTCTTTTTCATTATTTTTGTTCAATACTTCCATTTTTGTTTTTCTATTCTTCTCCGATTTATTTTTCTGCTGAACTCTGTGACATTTGGGTTTTGACAGCTACAGGTTGGCCAGGACATGCTGTACAGACAGCCTCTGATCATGTTCACAGTGCCATGTATAGAGAGCAGCCGGCTAGAGGGAGTCACTACACTAAGTGTAAGCGTAACGTGAGCCGTCTAATTCCTTCATTTGAATGGAGAGGGGATAGCTTAATCTAGAAGTCATGTAATGTGATGAAAATGTGGTTTATGATTGTAAGGTTGCAGGCGTTGGTGGCTTTGGAAGCTACTTTGGGTTAAGAAAGAGCTGCATCATCCCCTGTTCTTCTTTAGCAACAACTACGACTGTGCCTTTGAGCAAAGCTGCTGTGAAAGTGATGTACCTCTTTCTCAGTTTATGTTAGAGGCAAAAAAGGGAGTGAGGAAATCCTACCTTAAAACTATTTTAAAAGTATATTTATCACTTTGTGAGGTAAAGTTTATTCAGCAAGCAGTTAGATTGATTGACATCTCCCACTAATGACAAAGTGATAAATGTGATGGCCCATTTT